GTCCCCCACCCCACCCCGCCCCACCCCGCCTGCGCAGAGCACCCGCGACAACCCGCCCATGCTGCTGCCCTGCGGCCACTGTATCTGCAAGGCTTCCATCTACAAGATCGCCAAGGCCGCCAACCGCTCCTTCAAGTGCCCCTACTGCCCCGCCGAGTGCACCCCGCGGGACTGCCAGGAGCTGGTGGTGCCAGACATGGAGTAGGCAGGCGCTGCCCCCTAGGGGTCCACCCGTACCAGGCTGCAGGGGCCACCCCTACCGGACTGCAGGGGCCACCCCTCCTGGATTGCAGGGCGGATCTTGCCACGAGGGTGGCGCTGCTGGTGCCAGCGTGCAGTGGTGGGGGCTGGGTGCAAGGTCGAGGCCCAAGCCGGCACGGCGTGCCAGGCGGGAGATCTCTGGAGGCTGGCGCCCAGCGCGCAACACCAAACCGCATCTGGCCGCATCCCCCCGCCCGCCCATGCACCCCCTCGGCGCTGCCTGCCTGTACCATAGCCCTCCAGCCCGGCTGAAAGAAAGTTGCAAACGAACACTTTGTCCAACGATCGATCGGTGACAAATGAAGATGTGAAGCGAGGGGCGGCTGGCACAAGCAGCATATCCCACGGTCCCCCAGCCGTGCGCTCCCGCCAGGCCAGCCGCCGCCGCGTGCCGTCCCTTGGCATCACTGCTCCGCGGCGCTCTCCAGCAGGCCGCGCAGGCGGGGCACCACGTCGATGAACAGGGGCCGCTCCTCAGGCCGCTGCGCCCAGCAGTCCCTGCAGGCGGCAGCCCCAGAGCGGAGGTGAGTGGGGGCGCCTCAAACCTGGCACAACACCCTCTCACATCCTCCTGCTGCTGGCAGCAGGTCCTCCAGACGAGGCGCCAAGCAAGGCGGGGACGCAGCCTCCCACAGCTGGCAAGAGCGCCATAAGTCAGCGGCCAAACCGCGGCGCCAGGGCAGCGACGAGCGGCGGCAGCCGTGCCGCAGCTGCCGCCTCCCTGCGCCCAGGCCCAGGGCCCCAGCACCTGATGAGCTGGCAGTACTCCTCCAGACCCCCAAACTCCTCGCTGCCTGGGCCTGGCAGCGAGCCTCGCTCGGGGCACTCTGGTCGCTGGCCGCTGGTGGCCAGCCGCATGATCTGCAGCCAGGGTCAGGCAGCGCCATTGAACGGGGAGGGAATCAGCGTAGCGCGCCTGCCGCGGTGCCAGCTGCATGGAGGGGCGGGAGGCGGAAGCACGTGCGCAATCGCTTGCGCCCAAATCACAGCGCATGCGGGGCACGCATCCCGGCAAGCGCCCGCGCCGCGCCTGCAGGGGCGCCATGCCCGCCCACGGCAGCCGCCACGTCAGCAGCTCCCACAACACCTGCAGGCCAGGCGGAGAAGGGGGCGGGGGCGTGGGGGCACGGACCTGCGGGCTGCAGCGGGCGCCCGCAGCGCTGCCGCCAAAGGCGCTGCTGCGGCTGCCCCTTGACACACAGCTTCATGCGCATTGTTGGAATGCCATTGCCGGCAAGAAGCTGCCTGAAATGCACCCAGCGGCAGCCCCCGCGGCAGCCCGGCGCCGCTCCTCGGCGGCTCGGCAGCGGCTGCCGCCTGGCGGCAAGCGTGGGCAGGCAGGCCTGGGGATGAAACCGAGGCCGCTGACGATTCGCCAGCCAGGGCCCACAATGCACCACGCAACCAAAGGAGCAGTAAGCATACGCACCAGGCCAAATGAGTAGGTGTCGGAGGCGGCGGTCGCCCTGCCTCCCTCCAGCACCTCGGGCGCCAGCCAGACCGGGTTGCTGGCGCCGCCACTGGTGCTCAGCACCGAGGGCTGCTGCGGGCCCATGATCTTGCTGCAGGCGGCAAGCAGCACAGGGGTGGGGGTGGGGCCCCAGGGTGCGACGCCCGCTGGCCCAGGAGCGAGCAGGCGGGTTGCGGCCCCGCGCCGCAGCTGCCGGTCTCCACGGCAGGCCAGCAAGCGGGGCCGGCCCGGACCGCCGACGGCTCCAACACATGCAGCTGGCTGCGATGGGAAGCACCCTGTCAGCATGTCGGGGCTGACGGGGCCCACCTGAGGTTGAAGTCTGCGACTTTTACGCACCAGGAGTGGTCCACCTGCAGAGCGGGGAGGGGACAAACCAGCTTCAGAGCTCAGGTGGGCGTCACAGAGCAGGTTGAACCAAACAGGCAAGGAGCCGAGGAGACAGGCATGCCGCTCCAGCAGGGCGGCGCCAGGAGGGAGAGGAGGTGGGCGGTGCTGGCAGGAGCACGGGAGAGCCGGCGCGCCGGCTGGCTGGCAGGCGCGGCGGGCAGGCAGCAGCAGGTGGGCAGCAGCAGGCGGGCAGAAGACAGGCCGGCAGCAGGCAGGTGGCACACGGCGGCGGTACAGGCTGGCGGTACAGGCTGGCGGTACAGGCTGCCGCACCAGCAGGTTGGGGCTCTTCACGTCTCGGTGGATGATGGGCGGGGAGCGGCGGTGAAGGTACATGAGGCCTGTGGCGGCATCCAGCGCCTGCACACACAGGGGGAGCCCCCAAGCCCAGGCCTCCTCGCCACTCCGCGCCCCTGCTGTCACCCACGTACGGACAGGCAGCAGCAGCAGCGGCGGCAGCAGCGGGACACCCTGCGGGCCGCCCCTCCACGCACCATCTTGAGGCGCAGCCGCCACGTCAGCGCCGCGGCGCGCTCTGGCCGCTTGGCGGCGGCTTGCAGGACGTCGTAGAGAGAGCCGCGCTCGCAATACTCTGCACAGGGGAGCGCGCAGGCAGGCAGGCAGGCGCGCTGAAGCAGGCAAGCTGAAGCAGGTTCGCTGAAGCAGCTGAGATCAGGCGCCAATTGCCGCTGCGGTGGGGGTGGAAAGATCTGGTTACTTGGTGTCTGTCCTGCCATGCCCACCTGTCAGAATGCACGGCGGCAGTGTGCACAGGCCCTGCAGCGGCAGGGGGAGCGGCGCGGACGCAGCGACTCAGCTACCGAAGCCTCACGATGCACCAACTCAAAGATGAGCTGGCGGCCAGACAGCTCCCAGCCGGTTCTGCGGCGTATAGCCCACAGCGCCGCAGGCCCGAGACTTGCGCCAATGCGCCAGCTGGGCGGTGCCTCACCATGAAGGACACGATGTTGGGGTGCCTCATGCGAGACAGCATGGCAGCCTCCTGCGCAGGGACAGACGCAGGAGTAGGAGGCCCAGCGGTTGCCGCCCTGTTGCGTGGCGGGCGCCGGCGCCTACTGCCGCGCCCCGTCATCGGCAGCGGCGGGGCAGGCTGGTCTCAGGCCACAGACAGCTGACGGTGACTGCACGCCACCCACCTCTTTCAGCCGCTGCATCATGTCTGGGGGCAGCTCCAGGCTGGTCTCAGCAAAGTTGCCATCTGCAGCAAGCAGGCCCACACCGCTCGCACACACTGGGCAGCGAGAGGCAGGCGGGGCAGGCTGTTTGCCGTCCGGCGGCAGCACTGTGCGCGCTGCGCTGCTCCCTTGCCTGTGTTTATCAATACTTTGGCAGCCACAGGCGTCTCCTCCCACCGTGCAAAGTACACCTGTGCCACCAGGGCAGGCACAGGTCAAAAAAAACAGAATTGCCACACTGCAGCACACGCCGTTCTGCATGCGCCCAGCCGGCCATCCACCTCTCAGCGGCTGGCTCGCACACAGCAGTCGCTCACCCAGCCAAAGGAGCCTCTCCCGATGGGGTGCAGCAGCTTGATGTCGTCCCACGTCACCTCCCACTGTTGCATCTCATCTGGGAGGTGCCGGCTGCCGCCGCCGGCAGGGTGGGAGGGATCCTGTGACTCGCGGGAAGTGCGGGAGGTGTTGGCCGTGGCGCCAGCTGTCGAGGCCACATGATGCTGCTGGATGGAAGCCAGGCTGGATGCAATGTAGCTCAGCAAGGGGTCGGTGTCTGCGGAGTGCAGGCTGCAAGCGCGCATGGGCATGGGCAGGGCACCGTCAGGCGGGCAGTCGCCGGTGGTGTGCCGGCACGGGAGTGGCGTGCTGGCGCTGGCAGCACAGCTACAACGGCGCTTTGCGGCAGCCCGTGCACACCCAAGGCCGTGCTATCGCATGCCAGGACGCACCTGATGGATTGGCTGCCTGAAGGGCCGCCGCCGGCGTTGGCAGGGGCCCAGCCGCCAGGTGGCGGTGTGGTGGAGGGGAGGAGAGGGGGATATACCCCGCCCTTGGCAGATGCGGCTCCCGCCCCGGTCAGCGTGGAGGGGCCCGGGGGAGCCGAGGATGGCAGCAGCGGCGGTCCGATGGCGCTGGAAGGAGGGCTGCTGGCGTACTGGCTGCTGCCAACCTTGCCATCCGTTGAGATGGTTACGAATGAATCTATGTTGGCCTCTGCTGGGTTGGAGCCCATAAGGGAATCCACCTTGCCGTCGCCAGGCTGCTGGCCCTTGACCTTCCTCCGCCGCAGCCAGCCCTTGCCAGGGCGCAGCGCCAGGAAGGCGAGCAGGCACAGCGCTGCAGGGAGGCGGGCGACGGGCGAGGGGTGAGGGGGCTCGAAGCAGCTACGCCACGCGCAGCGCGGCGGCCAGTAGCTTGTGCACAGCGGAAGATGGCCAGGTGGCATGGCCAGCTGCGCATTTGGGCGCAGCAGCTCACCCAGGCCGCCCGCGACGCCCCCCACGATGGCGCCGATGGGCACGCTGGAAGAGGAGGATGCCTCCTCGGCAGCAGCCGGAGCTGGGGCCGCCGCCGGGGGGCATTCCCCCAGCGAGCCTTCAGAGCTGCATGGGTTGCTGTTGCCCGTGCACACCTGCATGCCAACATTGCGGTGCAATGTGCGCATTTGAGCAGCACAACTCAGCGGCTTGCGGCTTTTCGCAATGCACCCCAGCACCGCCTGCAGGCTTGCAAGGCCGTGCTCACAGTTGGCTGCAAGTCAGCAGGCACAGGGCCGCACAGCAGGGTGTCATCCAAGTCCCTGCACAGCGAGTGGGAGGCAAGAGCAGGTGAAGAACTGTGTGTGTGCAGCAACCTGGCGTTGGGATGAAAGTATCCAAACCCGGTGTTCTGCTGTCAAGGGTGTGGCCAGCAAGCATCGGCAGCAAGCTCACAGCTCCCCAGACGTCAGATTCAGTGCGCCTGGGGTCCCCCAGCTCGCAGGGATGGTGCCTGCAGATGGCAGCAGGAGGTTCAAAGTCAGAGTGGGTGGGCACATGCCACACCAAACCGCCCAGAGTGCTGTTGTGTGGCCTGCCTCGCGCCGATGCATACCTGTTAGGTTGTTTCCACTAAGGTTCCTGCACAGCGGGGTCCACAAAACAGGTGATCTCTATAGGGAGTAAGAAATTGGGAGAACCGTGTGCATGGACAGGCAAGCAACTTTGGCGCACGGTCGCACAATTCAAATACATGCCAGCTGGCGCAGGGAGCCGGCTTACAACTCAGTCAGGTTCTTCATTGCACTAGTGCTGACGTCACCCCACTCGGGCGGCAGTGTGCCTGCAGGCCATTCGTGGCGCAATCACACCCCAGCAGGTGACGCGCCATGCGTCGCAGCAGCAGCGGCATAAGCAGATCCGCCCGCAGCAGCCGCAGCCAAACATGCCACAGCCGGCGTGATTTGTGGAGATGAGGGGCCCCACCAGTCAGTTGGTTGCCCTCCGCACTCCTGCACATTCCAGGGTAGCAGCGCTCGAAGCAGCAGCATAAGCTCCACTAGTCAAACAGGGCAGGTACACGGCACTGCCTGGCCTGATGGAAAGACTGGCTCGCTGGCTGGCCGGACCAACACTTACAGGATGGCGAGCGCTGGGAAGGCCCCTTCAGAACCCCACTGGGCAGGCAACGTCCCTGCACAAACACGCAGCAGCAGCAGCTTTCAAGAATCGCATGGCCGGCATCACAGGCAGGAATCGCGCGCCATAGGGCTTCACACGCGGGCAACCCAGAGCAAGCCAGCGACAGCCAACTCCAGCTGGGGAGCGCACCCTTCAACTTGTTTCCACCCACGTCCCTGCAGACATTTGGTCATTGCACGTCAGAAGGCATTGTGGCCTAACAGCTCCCGTGCAAACAGCTCCCCTGCACTTCTGGGCACCACAGCCCTCTATGCAGTTGGCGATTGGAGGCAAGCGGAACAAGGTGGCACTGGCCAAGCGCATGAGCTCACAGTTTGGTGAGATAGGCCAAGAACCCCGGAGTTTGGCCCCACTCAGGTGGCAGCGACCCTGCGCAGGCACAGCGGTCAGCAGACACAAAGCAGCGCTCCATTGCAGGCATGTCAAAGGAAGGTGCATGCACAACGGCTACGAAGCCACAACACACCTGTCAGATCGTTTTTAGATACGCCCCTGCATCCAGATGGAAAGGAGAGGCTCATGACGGAAGCCCTGGGCACATTCAAAGGCAGGGGTGTCGCAGACAGGGTGAGCGGGCACCAGATGGCACTCACAGGTTGGACAGATTGTTCAGTGCGCCCAGCTGCGCACACGCTCCTGGCAGGGTGCCCGTGAGGTTGTTCTGCCCCAGGTGCCTGTAGTATCATGAAAACACTCGATGCTTGTCAGGCGCGGGCGTCGGATGATGCGCACTTATGAGTAGCCGCACCCGGCCATACTCACAAGGTTGCTAACTGGGAAAAAATGCCGGGCCCGCACCAGGTGGCAGGCAGAGTGCCTGCGCCATGTGATGCGAATTAGGTGAGCAACTGGACAGCAGGACGCCTGTCTCAGGCAGAAGAAGCGCAAGCCACACCCCACTCACCTACAAATCGGTTGTCGCTCAAGACCCTGCAACACAGGCAGGGGAGCACAGCCGGTTGCATGCATCAGGCAACGCAGAAGGCCACAGCAGCAGGGCTGCCAGTGGCGAGGGATCTAAGAGGCTCTACTGGGCGCGGCTCACAGGGTGTTCAAATTCATCAGCGTTTTGGTCCCCCAGTCAGCGGGCAGGGTGCCTGCACCAGAAATACAAGAACATCTAAGGCCATGCACAATGGTTGCAGCGCAGGCGCACTCTCAATAGCAACAGGCGGCGCGGCACCCCACCGCTCAAGGCATTGTTGTCCAGAAACCTGCAGCAAGAACGTGAAGCAGGCGTCAGAATCAGTTTGGCCAGCATGAATTTGCAGCAGCGTCAGCAGCAAAAGGGCTTTGGGCGCAGCAGCAGGTCCTGGGCGCTCACATTCTGGAGAGGCTTGAAAAAGTGCCAGGTGCGGCCCAAGAGGTGGGAAGAGAGCCTGTAATGAGCGGAACGGATCCTTTGCGCATCCACAAGTGCTTGCCTGATGCCTGAACTGCCCTTTCAGTACAACACACCACTGACAAACCCACCTGAAAGCTTGGCATTTGTCAAGTGCCTGCAGCCAAGGAGGGAGATGATAGTGAAAATGTACCAAAGCACAACACCACACAGCTCAAACGCTGGCGGCTGGCAGTGCCAGCTGGCAGGGTGGGAGCGCCGGCGCTGACAACCAGCAGGCCACAGCACTCACAGCCTAGCCAGACGCTTGAAAGCAGTGAAGCTTCCCCAGGACTCTGGCAGGCCACCTGCAACAACGGAGGCAGGATGGCTTGGCTGGCCGGAGAGCTGCCCATGCACCACATCTGCGGCCGAATTGGCTTCTGCTTACCAGTGAATTGGTTGTTGCCCAGATCCCTGCAGCATGTGACGAGCGCTTGCATTCAGAAGCGTTGAGGAAGGCGTTCTCGTGTGCACAGCGGCAAGCACACCAACTCACAGATACGACAGCTTTGGGAAGGCCATCGGATTGGCCCAGCTGGCAGGCAGCGCGCCTGCACCAACAGCACGGGCAAGCAGCGCATGAGCCATACTGGTCCACAACAAACGAAACAGCGCACCCCCAGCCACACCACAAAATGGTGGGTGCTCCACTCACCAGCAATGTTTGTATAGTTGACCGCCCTGCACCAGCGGCACAGCATCACACATTGTGAGTCGACCTCGCCAAAGAGCATTAGACAGAGCTAGGCGCCATAGCGGGGCAGCAGGGGCACACGCAGGGAGGCTCCCACTCACAGGGTAGTCAGCTGCCTGAACACATTGGGATCCCCCCATGTATTGGGCAGGGTGCCTGCAGGTAGAGCAAGTGATGGGTAAGAGGAGGCTGCAGCTGCCAGCCGGCAGATGGGGGCAGCAGGGAGGCCATGTGCGCAACACCTGTGAGCGACAGGTTGTTGAGCATCAGGGTTTGCAGCATCCTGCAGGCCGCAGCGCGGGGAAGGTGGTACCGACAACTGTGTCAGCACCTCTTCATGCCTGCAGGGCTGTGTGCTGATACTCCCAGGGGCACCACACCGACCACATATGCAAGATGGGCAGGCATAACGTGGTTACCGGGGGCACCCACGTTATGTTGCTGAGGTCAGGGGACAGCGCCCCAACAGCCGTGGTGCTGCAGCCGTCGGCCCCGCGACAGCGCAGCGTCCTGCACGCATGCCAGGAGGCACCGCTGCCACGCTCAGGGCCGTGCCAGCGACATTGCTGCAGCCAGCACTGTTGTTCACCCTATACCGTCGCACAAGTGCGCGCAGGACCACTGCAGCCCACCAGCAGGCCTGGCGCGTGTGTGGCAACTCACAACGAGGTGACCCGGTCATCTGTGCAGTTGACTCCTGTCCACTCCCAGCACACGGTGGCCAGGTCCTGCCACCCAGTGATGCCATTGGCGGCGGCAAAGTCGGGCCAGTTGGAGATGGCCTGCTTCTGAGCCAGCAGCGCCACCCCTGCACGCAACGGCAGCAGCAGCGGGGTTGCAGAGAGTTGCACGACAGGGCTGGCTTGTGTGCAAAGCACAATGCGCAAAACACGCGACGGCGCCCGCCCCAGGCGGTGCGGTGGTACAGGGAGCGGCCGCGCACAGGGTGCAGAGCGCTGCTCCCTGCGGAACCGCCTGACTTGCACGCTGCAAAACCAGCTGTGCAGCAGGCTTCCGGTTTCCCCAAAGGCCCTGGACTTGCAGCGTGCGGAGGAGCAGCTACAGGCATGGGGTTCAAAGCTCACCGTCGCTCTCCCATGGGAAACCTCGTGCCTGCCCAACCCCGAGAGCTAAGAGCAGCAGCAGGGGAAGGGCAGCTTTGCGCCGCCCCATTGCAGAGCCTGGTGCGCCGCAGCGATATATAAACTGACTTCGAGGCAATGAGCGGTTTTGGTTTTGGGCCGGCACACGAGAGGCGCTCGCAGACGAGGGAGGGGCATGCAGGTACTGCAGTATGCGTCCACCCCGCCATGCATCAAAGGGTGTTGACAGGCACGGGGTCATATCCCATCATCAGCACTCGGGTGGCTTGCACACTTCAGCCTGTGAGGGAGAAGATGCAGTGACTCATTGGCGGCCGACGGCGCAAACGACTACGGCAAACCGGGCGGCCGCTCTTGGCCGCCTCGTCTGCGCCCCAACAAATGCTTCGGCTGATGATCAGACCCTGTTGACCGAGTGTGTATCTGTTATCTCCGAACTTTCATTAAATTATTTGCAATAAAGTGAGGTGGCGACACTGGAGCTGGGCGGCTGCCCTCTGTCACGCCTGGCCCGCTGCCCAGGCGGCCAGCAGGCTCCACGCGGCCAAGCACGCGCCTTGCTGCAGGACAGCAGCAGCCCCAGAGATGGGGAAGTAGGGCGCCAGCTGCTCTGGGTCGAGGGACTGCAGGAAGGAGGGAGAGGGGCAGCCAAAGCTCTTGCGGGAGCAGCAGCAGCCTCGCCCAGCTGTCAACAGCTGGCAACCGCTCAGGCAACATCGGCATAGCAGCGTCGGCATAGCAGCAACACTTGTACCTGCGCGCTGTCCAGGAATGCCGCCACCTGCTGAGCATACTGCGCCGGGTGCTGGAAGTGCACGAGCTACAGAGGGGAGCAAGGCAGCAGCATCAGGGTCAGGGTCAGGGGCAGTCGGGGCCGCTACAGCGCCCGCAGCCGCTGCGCCCATAGGGCAGCACGCCCTGGTGCGATGCAACGTGGCAGCAAGCCCCATCACAGGAGACAACCAGACGAGAGCCCCTCAAGCACTCGCCGGCGGCAGCACAGCGCAAGCAGGCAGCGGCCCCGCTCACATGCCCCGCATCCGGCACCTCCTGCAGGCTGGCCGCCACCATGTTGGTGGCGGCCTGCGCCTGCGTGGCGGGAGGCACCACGGCATCCTGCGCGCCGCCCAGCAGCAGCAGCTGGCTGGTGCTGGAGCGCAGGCTGCCCAGCAGGCCTGGGCCTGTGTAGAAAGCAAGGATGGCATCCATCTGCAACAGGGCCCGGGATGGGAGGCTCAGCGAGGCAGGTGTGCATGCACGCATTCATGCGTTTGACTCAGCGGCTGCACCTGCGATCAACGGCAGCTCCTGGGGCTGAACCCCATGCAGGCATGCCTTCTGCGTCCTGCAAGGTGCACGGCTGACGACGCTGTACCCAGTACACCACCGCTGCTGCGCGCCTGCTGCTGCTTGACCTCGGGGGGCACCACCAAGGCGCCGGCGCCTGCGCCACAGCCACTGGGCAGTCAGTCGGCCACGGTGAGCAGCTCATGCCGGCGCAGCTGTACACGAGGGCCGAAGAAAACCGGGCGTGCGCCATGCTGCTCCTGTTTGCAACTTCCGCCCGACACGCGCCACCCAGCCCACCCGCCCGCCCCGCCATCCCGGCGCATACACGCGCTCGCTGCCTCTCTTGCCTGGAATGATGCCGAGGCGCAGCGCATACCCCGCCTCGCTGTCATTGTTCAGCCCCGGGGTCGCCGCGAACTGCACAGAGTCCACCGTTTGCAGCAGGTTGCAGAAGCCTGCGGGGCGGGAGCGGAGCGTGGGGGGCGCCAAGCAGCGGCGGTGGAAATGGCTGCAGGGAAACTAAAAGATAAAGGAAACCCGCAGCAGATTTTCCGGAGCGTGACTGTGCAGGTGACGGGCCCAGGGCTGGCACAAGGCGGGCGGGCCGCGACGCGGGCATGCACTGGCCCCGGGCCATTTAACCCATCATCGCTCACGCCGGCATGGCAGGAAGGATCTCGGCAGCCAGCGAGCGCACCCACCCTCCCACCCACCCACCTGTGTCGTTGGCACCCAGAGGGAACACGAGGTCGATGCTGGAGGGGCCCGCCTCCACAATGGCGCTGCACCAGCCAGCAACCGGTTGCGCGGGGAGACGCGTGTGTGGCTGTGCACTGCTGGCAGGAGGTCAGGGTGGGGCAAACACAGCCGCCGCCCCGCCTCACACACACCAGCTCCGGCGACAAGCGCAGCTGCGGTACGAAGCGAGCCGCAGGGCCCACCTGAGCACGCCCTCCAGCCCTGCAGCCGGCTGAGGCGCGTTGGCTCCGCCTGACGACCCGCTCACTGCACCATCAGGCATGCCCGGCCCCAGGCAGCCACAGAAACGGGCAGGCAGGTGGTGGGCGAGCGGGGCGGGCAGGCAGGCAGGTTGTGGGCAGGCGGCGGGCAGCCTGGGAAGGCCTGCTGTGTGTGGCTGGCAGTCCTGGGCCAGGGCAGCCAGAGGGGAGCAGCGCCGCACCCGACACCACCGCCCCAACCGCGTCGCTATGATTGCCGGCCAGCGCCTGCGCAATCATGCCTCCCATGCTGAACCTGCAGGCGGCGGCCGGCAGGGCAAGGCAGCCAGGCATCTCGCCGGGAAGGCGCTGGCTCGCAGCCAGCCACACAGGCAAAGCTACTTCTCTTTGCATGCAGCGCCAGTGTGTGCCTGCATGAGCGATGGGGGTCCCCGTAGTTAGTCACCCCAGCCGCCACCCACCCGAGCACATCTGGCTTGCGCAGCAGCTCCAGCGCCCGTATCAGCGCAGCTGTGGAGGCCGCCATCCCGGCGATGGTAAGGGTAGCGTTGGAGCTGTCGTCTGCACGGGACCGTTTTGCCCAGCCAGCCGCGGGACCACATGGAAAAGGGGCAAAAAAGGGGCACGAAAGGGGCAGTACCATCCCGCGCAAGCCAGCAGGTGAAGATGTGACGCAGGCTCCAGCATGCAGGCGGCAGGAGGAGCAGACAGCAGCGGCAGAGGGATGGGGAGCAGCGCAGGAAAGGAAGGAGGCGGGGAGGGCTCACTCGACAGGCCCGCCCGCTGGTTGTCGAAAATGATGACCTCCCTGCTGCCAGAAAGGTATTGCAGCACCTATCTCCTAGCAGGGGCCGCAAAGGACAGTCAGCACCACACAGCTGTGAAACCCAGCGAAGCGGCATGCGCCCAGCTGTGCCGTGCGCAGGGGCAGGCCATCCCTCACCGTCAGCGGCCAGTCAAACTGCGTGCCCCCCAGGCCGTGGATCAATATCAGCGGTGGCCGGCCAGCGCTGGCATTGCCAAACCGATGGTAGGAGAAGCTGATGCCGCCTGTCGGGCGAGGAAAAGGGCAGGCCGCAAGGGCGCGGGTGAAGGTTGATCAGCGCGCTTGATGGAATACTTCAACGACAGGCTCGCTCAGGGTTGCTGGTTGCGGCAGCAGGCCCACCTGCATCCACCGCCTGCGCCGGGCCCAGAAAGGTGACGTTGATCAGCGGCTGCTCGGCGTCGCACTGCGGCGGCGGGCCGGCCCCCGCCGCCGTGACGACGCAGGCCAGCCACAGCCACAGTGCAATCAGGGTCGACCGATGCCCCATGGATCAATGGACGAGTGGATTGCAGCGATATCAGAGGTCCCCAGCTGCCAGAGTCCGAGTTCGCGGGCGCCCGACATAGATGCTGCCCCGACAGCCAGCACACAGCTCCTGCAATTAGTGAAACGAAGCGCGATTGGGTTCCGCAATCGCCGCCGCCTGCAGACATGGGTTTCACATGCCGCCGCCACCTGGCGTCACTGCTCCTGCCTTGCACCGCAAGCCCTGCGGACACCTGGTTCCGGAGGCTTGCATGGGTGCGCTCCTGCGAGCCTGCGCTGCCATATACCAGCATGTCTGCGAGCCGACATGCCTCGGGGCCAAGCGCGGCAAACGCCGCCACGCCACCCCGCCAACACAGGGGGAGACTGGAGACGCCGCTCTGCACCGCAGTAACCGTCGATTCTAATCCCAGTGACGCCAGAGGGAGCTGGATTCATCCCAGTCCGAGCTTCTTGCCCTCCTGAGGAGGAGGAGGAGGAGGCAGCAGGACGTGTGCGGCGGGTGGGCGGCCCATATCCGCGGCGCCGCCTTGCTCCAGCAAGCCTGCCAATTCGGCTAGAAAGCATACTCCCAACCAATACCTGCATGCCGGCCAGGATTTCGCCATCTGAGCAACCAGGCAACATTTTCGAAGCTCAGTTTCACCCTCTGCTGGGCCTGCGGAGGCCGGTGCGTGGGAGTACTCTCGATCCAAGCGGGCCACCAATTGCCGCATTGTCGATCGTCCTGAACACGCCGCACCATGCCGCTGCTCGTTCTCGCCTCGACCCCCATCAGCAGCGCCCTCTGCTGTGGTCCCCGGGGGCTTCGCAGCTCCGCCCAGGGCCCCTCCAGGCTGCATTTGAGCACCTGGAGGGCAGTGCAGTGCTCCGCCAGCGCCCCAAAGAAGGCGACGGCGGAAGGCGCCCAGGCGGCGGCCCCGGCGGCAGCAGCTGGGGACGACGCCCCTAAGAAGAAGCGTGGCCGGCCCAGCAAGGCCCGGGCCCCCAAGGCCGCCAAAGGTGAGCATCTGCAGCAGGCAGGCCGCGAGGGAGGGTGCTGCAAGCACCGCTCCAGCAGATGGGGACTAATGGCCTGGCCAGCGGGCGCCGCACGGCGGTTGCGGCCGCCGCACCCTGGCCCCTTTGCATGCCCGGGCCCACAAGCAGCCACCTCAGCGTCGCCAGCTCAGCTGAAGGATGCTTTTCTGGCCGTGCGCTCGTTGTGCGCTGCAGCTGAGGCGGAGGCTGCCGCGACGCCTGCCGCGACTCTGCCCGAGACGCCTGCCCCCACCGCTGAGCCGGAGGCGGCCCCCGCGGCTACCCAGGCAGAGGCCCCTGCAGCTGCTGCGGAGCCCGAGGCCCCCACCCTTGCTGCCAAGCCCAAGCCCCCAGCCCCCGTGGAGGCACCCCCGCCGCCCGCCAGCGAGGAGGCCCCTGCCGCGCCCGCCCCACCCGCGGCGGCACCGCCGCCCAAGAACCCTTCGGGAGAGGTTGTGCTGGAGGCCAATGGCGGCCGCATCACCATCTCTCGCACCGAGTACCTGGAGCGCTCCTGAGCCGGGCCTCCCACCCAGCCACGGCTGCAGGAGTGGGGGCAGGTGCGCTGCCGCCCGGCCAGCCTGTGTTCCCTCCCGCCCCCACCAGCCCTGCCCTGGGATGCCCCTGCCCGTGCCGCACGCCAGGCTGCCGCTGCCGTGCATCCAGCTGCACCCATTTGTGTGGGGGCAGCCCACCTCATCCACCCCCTGCTGCTCGGCGCATGCCTCTGCCGCGCGCCCGCGCGCTGCCTGCCTGGCCTCTCACCGCCGCCCCTCTGCGTGCCGTCTCCCAACTGCTGCCGCTCGTGCAGGAGGCCCTTGCGCCGCCTGCGAGGGGTCGTGGCTGGCCTCCGCCAGCCCTTCAACCGCCTGCAGCAGGCGGTACCGCCTGCAGGTGGCGCCAGCTGCTGGGACGGTGCACGGCTCGTCGGCCGGCAGCCAGCAGCGGCGCCGCGTCTGCGGCAGCTTTCTTTCCAAACCTTCCTGTGGAGCGTCCCCGCGGGAAGAGCAGCCCGCGAAGCTGCGGATTTGTTGCAGGCCGCAGAGCCACAGATGCCCGCCGGAAGCAAGTGCGCTCGCCGGCCGGCCGGGCTGAGCTGCTGCCCAGAAGGTCCCCCCTGAGTTTGCTTTCTTCTAACGTATGCCTCACTGCCTTCCCAGCTGTTCCTTTCCTGCCCCGCCCCGTCTTTGAGCATCCTCCCCTCACCTGTATTTCATTTGCGCCTCCTGGACCTGCATGCACTCACTCCGGCTGCGGTTGCCGCCATGTGTGCCTAAGAGGAGCCGTCACCCACACACGCAGTGCGCCCTCGGCGCCCCTGCCCCTACACACAGCCGGCCCCCTCGGTCGCCAGCTGCCCAGCCGGCGCTGTGGTCGCTTGCTTTCACACAACGCCCGGTTCTTGCTGGGTTCATGGCTTGGGGAGTCGGCACGTGGAGGGCGACGGGGGAGGGCAGGAGGATCAGGGGCAGGGGAGGAGAAACTCGGTCGGTTTGATTGTCAGGCAAAGAGTCACGAAAAAGAGTCGTACAGGTGTGGGGCAAGGCACCCCTGGTGTCAAGAGGCATATAGAGAGGGACAGCAATAGCATCACGCGACTGTCTGGGGAGGTAGTAGTGGAAGCTGTGGGAGTTGATGTCTTTGGCAGCGTGCAGCGCAAAAAAACACCGTGCTGCCGTTCGGTGACTGGTGCATGCGCTCTGGCAGGCGCCGGCGGCTCAGCGGGTGGGCCAGCAGCACTCCCGCCCTGGCAATTCGCCTGGGTGGCGGCTGCGGGCCTGCTCACTTCCTGTCATCCTCCTCCTCGGCCACAGGCATCAACACCTGCAGCGCCGAGAGGGCAGGGGAGCTGTTGGGATGCCTGGGCAGGAGGCCGGGCCGGCGGCCGCCCAGCTGCCAGCAACCCCCTCGCGCCCCGCGGCAGGCCCCTCCGCATCCTTCCCGCCCCGCGGCAGGCGCGCCTGCCACCAGCCCAGCCCATTAGGCGCCCTAGCTGCTGCGCCGCCCTGCCGCCCTCGCCACCCGGCAAGCAGCCACTCTGGCAGCAGCCCCTCCCACGCAGGAGCCCACCTCATCGATGCTGTGCACGACGCTCTGGCCGCACACCAGGTTGATCTTGCCGGGGCAGTTGAGCTCCGCCTCGTTGTCCACGGCCTCGACCTGGAAGTCACCGTCGGCGTCGCTGTACAGCTGCGGTACAGGGGCGGTGCCAGGCGGCACGACTCAGCCTCCCGTGAGCGCGGCCGGCCGGCCCGGGTGGCAGTCATGGGCAGGGGCGAGGCGCCAGGTGCGGCGGGTGCGGGCAAGCAGGTGGCTTCTGCGGTGCGCAGGGCTGGCAGGCGGCCCCCGGAAGGCAGGCCCCGCCAGCGGGCTGCGGGCGAGGCACCCGCTGGCTGTGGCAGTTGCAAAGCCAGGTAACACGCCGCAGCGGGCGGGTAGCTGCACGGGCAGCGGCGCGCCGCGCCGGGGCCCCACCTTGAGCTGCAGCGGGGCCTTGGTGATGGGGCCCTTCAGCATGGTGTTGACCAACTTCGCCTTCTGGCCGCGAGGGGGCCAGAACTGGGTGGTGTGGCGCCTGGTGAGGACGTGGTAGGACACGAGCTGGTGGGGAGGGAGGGAGGGAGGCGGCAGGCGCGGGGGCCGCAGGCGTGAGCATGGGCCCGGGCCGGGGCCGGGGCCAGGCCAAGCCCACAGCCCCCGGAACGCAACAGCAGCACGCCACCCGGTGCAACCCGGCAACGTCGACGACTGTTGTCCAGCACCAGGCACCCCCTCACCAGGTCCAGCTGAGTCTTCTGTTTCAGCAGCACCGCCAGCGGCACGCCAGTGTCCTCAATAAACTCGAGGAGAGCGCTGTTGTCGGGGGCTGCGGCAGGAGGAGCAGGCGGCGCGGCAGGGCTGCTGCTGTGGGGGCATGCCGAGCGGTGGACGTGCGGCCCGCCCAGGTTAGCCTCCCTGTTCCGCAAGGCAGGAGAGCGGCAGCGGGGGCACATCATGGGCTCACCAAACACAGTGACCTGGGTCTTGGGGTCTGCAACAATGCGCAGGGGAGGAGCAGGAGGCATGTAGCAGGGCTCAGCCGGTGGCAAGTTTGCCTGCTGACAAAGGGCTGCTGGTGCCCCCGTCCCACCACCTCCCCCAGGGCTCCGCCTTGCCCAGTTCCAGCTGCCTCTGAGGCTGCTGCCAGGCTTGCTGCAACCACCCACCCTTGAACATCTTCGCATAGCTGGAGGCCTGCAGCAGGTGGAACGCAGCAAGCAACACACGAGGTGGGGTGGCAGCCGGGCAGCGGTTCAGCGATCGCGAGCTGGCGAGGCTCCCAGATCAGCGGAAGGCACCGCGGCTGTGTTTGCACGTGGCGTCTCGTGCCACCTGGCCCCCGCTTCCCAGGGCGGGGCGGCCCCAGATGCGCACGGGCAGACTGCCGTTGGCTGGCCGGCACCCACAGCACCACCACTATTAGCTACGCATGCACCATGACTATACACATCGCCAGCAACACACTCACATCGATGACGGCTGCCAGAGTCTTGTAGCCCAGCTTCACCACGCAGCCGTAGATGGACTGTGCGTAGCGGTCGGAGATGGCCGCGACGCCAACAGAGTCGTCCTGGGCAACGGCGCCTGCGGGCAGGCGGAGGACCGTGGCGGTGGCAGACTGTGGGGCGGCAGCCCAGAACGTCGCGCCGTCCATCGGGGCATGCCCATCGCGGTGTGAATTGCTAGCTGGGGTGCAGCTCCGCGGAGCGGGGCCGGCAAGGCGCCGTAGCGCATGCCCCGCGGGGCCCCAGGACGTCCGGGCCGCGACCCCCGTCCCCTGCGCCTGCTGCCATCGAGGGGGTGCCGCTGCCGACTCCTAAAGAGCGCGAACAGCGTTTCGGAGGAGCGGTGGCTGGCCACCGCCTCCCCCCACTAGCCACTGCGATTTTTGCCGCTTGCGGGGGGATCGCAGGCACACAACACCTGGAACACCGCGCTGCTACCCGACCAGGCAGTGGGGCCCCCGATCAGCCGAATGCCCTCGGCATGTGGTGGATACGGCCAGCGCCAGCCCTCCCCCGCCCCTGCCTCCCACCCCCCCACATCAAAACATGCTCAACAAACGCGAGGCACGTGCTGCGGCAGGCCGCCTACCCGTTGCCAAGAGCAGCAGGACTGCCAGAGCGAGTGCGCAGCGCATGGCGGCTCTCCTTTGCTGGATTGGGTGACGAACAGGAAAATGGGTTTGGGTTGAGCGCGCAAGGCAAACTCAGGACGGACAGTGGCTGCTGCCAGGGTCTGAGGGACGTTGTGTCGCCTCGCCTGAAGCTCATGCACACACCCAACACGCCATCTCTTGGCTCCATGGCACGGTGCATTGCTCTTTCAAGGGATGGGCGTGGACGGATGGGCCTTGGGGTCCCTGTCTGGGTACGCCGCACACGTGGGAGCCTGGTGGCAGCGTGCCCGTCCCTGCCGGCCCCTGTGGCTAAGGACGATACTCCGGGTAGCAAGTTTGACTCACCCTCAACTGGAAGATAGGGTGCAAACAAGCAGAAGCAGCAAAATGAGGTATAAAAGGGTCATGGCATGAGAGGAGTGAGCAACATCAGTATCGCATCTCTCAGAACGGCACGGCCGGCGGCAGCCGCCTGCGCCGCCTCTCGGGCGGGTGCTTCACGCCGCGGGCAGCAGCTGCCGCTCGCGCAAGCAGTCCTCCACCACCGCCGCCCAGGTGTCCACCCCCGGCTGCTCGGGGTACTTGACGGCTTGCAGCCCCAGCTTCTCGGCAGCTCTTGCAGACGTGCTGCCGATGCAGGCGATCGACATCTCGCGCGTCGCCTCCTCACCCACAATCTGCACCCACGCCCTGCAGGCACGCGGGGCCACCAGCCCAGGCGCGATGAGCAGGTGGGTGTGGGGAGGGGGCGCTGCAACGGCGACAGATCCGGGGCCGGGCCGGCGCCGCCTCCTTGCCTCCTCGCCGCAGCACGAGCAGCACCCTGCGCCGGTCCACGCCACGCTACACCCTCACATCACCACCACCGCAAACAGCGCCGTTCCCAGCACGGCACGCATGCTGCGCCCGGCAGGCCCCGCGGGGGCGGGGGCGGGCTCACTTGATGGTTCATTCATTCATTCAGCACACAGACCGGCCGCCTCTTGCTCGAGGGCGGCCCACTTTGGCCTGGGCAGCCCGGGCCGCCCTCCCCCCCGGGCGCATGTTCGGTGTTGGAGGGGTGCGCCCAGCGATAGGGGGCCCCTGAAGGCATGCGCCGAGGCCGGGAAGCGTGGTTCGGCGCTGCTGCACGCTTGGCGACTTGAACAGAACCGCGTGCCGCCGAGCTGCGGCCGCAGTTTCCGGCCCACAGTCTACGGCCGCAGCCACGGGACTCGGCGGCACGGCGTTTGGGCCCAAGCTTGCTGCCGCCGCCGCCGTGCCCGGGGGGCAGCGCGGCGGCGGCGGCGGCACGCTGCGACGCCCCCGAGCCACCGAGCTGCGGCCGTAGCTTCCTGCCAGAAGCCCACGGCCACAGCCACGGGACTCGGCGGCACGGCGTTTCGGTCCACGGCTTGCTGCCGCCGCCGTCGCAGGGGTGCTGCCTGCGGCGGCGGCGGCACGGCGTTTGGGTCCACGGCTTGCTGCCGCTGCCGCCGCCGCAGGGGTGCTG